CAAGGAAGTAGAGCATTATGGCAGCCTGGCCGTAGCCATACATCGGAGGTAGAGCCCTGGCTTTAGTGGCAGGCAGCTGTGTTACAGCGTAGACAACATTTTCCTAGAATTGTGGGCCTGGATTGATCAAAATAATAATTTGTTAAACTATCTAGTAGTTCTGATGCCAACTGGCAAGGAGGGCAACGTTTAGTAAGCTAACCGTGCCTATCTCTATGCAGAAGGATTTGTGGTTGCAGACTTTATTTTAAGAGGTTACTTCCTGTAACTGGTTGGTGTTGGTAGAGTAAATTACCTTCAAACTTCACACTTCTTTGAAAAAGGAAAACCCGCCCCTCATCGTCCTGTTATTTGGTGACACGCAGGACCAGCGGGCAAGATGTCCACCTGTTTAAACAAAACCAATACTGAAAGGAAAACACACTAGAGCTCTTCAAATATGTCGGATAGGAACCTGCCCAGAACCTGGCACGAGTTTCCTGCTGGAGTTCAACCTGGCTGTGTTGTTAATTCACATGATGAGACGAGTCCATAACTGACTTAGTCTTTTCTTTTCCTGTAATGCCCGTGAGCAGGACTAAAAAATAAAAACAGTAGACAGTTTAGGCGTGTCAGTAAGTAGCTACACATGTGTTGGGCTTTGTACTTCAGACTGACTTTAGATGAAGATTCCTGCAGGTGCCATGGGACCCCCCCCCCCGCAGCTCCATGATGATGGGAACGGAAAACCAAGACTGGGGAGAAGATACCCTGAAGCTTGGAGGGACTGAAAGCATCATGGAGGATAGAGTACGTTAAAGCTCCAAGATCTAAATCATCTTAACCCTTTCAGCACGAGGTCAACATTTAACATTTTAAATAAAGTATAAATTAACCCTTGAGATTCTGCAAAATCAATGACCTAATAGTGCCTACATTTGAAATTTTCTGACCTTGTAGTGGAAGTTCTTGGAGTATTTTTATGCCTCAGATGTGTAGAATCTCTAAAACCTATGCTAAATGGTTATGTTCATCATTCAAACATTATGATGATTGTTAACATGTTTGTCAGTAGGAGGTCTGGGAGGGTTAAGAAGAATTTTAGAGGCATAGGAGAGTTTTTCAGTCCCAACATCATCACTTGAATATTTAAAACTGACAAACAACAAATGTTTACAGCGCCTCATAGCCTAGCGTCAATAGTCATAGGGGCAAAGGTTGTGAGTTGAATCCGACCTCTGTCCTTCATATCAAACAACATCGATACCTGTAACGATACCACGGCAACAACAGAAGAAGTCCTAGACCAAAGGATGCCAATGTTGGAAAACTTTTTTGTGCAATTTAGATCATGTTCTCTCTCTCTCGTTCTTTACCTCGTTTTTTGGTTTGAAATAAGACTGAAGATCTGGACTTTTATTAAAGCTTCAGTGCCATTGATAATGAAAATAACTTCTACTGTATTCTTTTCAAACATAGAAACATATCGATCACTTTGACAGCCTTAGTTCAGAGTCGTGTGTTTTGTTTTACGACCTGAGTTAACTTGTTGAAACAGTCAAATAGCAACCAAACAATACAGCTCTCCCCTGGGGGAGGATTTTATCATAGGAACACAAAGTGAGCATGTGAACACTTCTAAATAAATAACAGCTTAACAGTAGTTTGCTGCTGTAAACACGGTCGAAGCTGATGTTTGTTTGTCGCATTTAAAGTGTGAAAGAAAGGCTTAGAGGTTTGGAGTAAGAGGATGACTGTCTTAAGCTCAGATGAAAGAATATTTTAGCACCACGGCAGGTTACTGTCAACATTTATAGGCAACACGAGTGCTTTTCAAAACACATGATTCTTTTATGTTCCATACAACTTAGAAAGAATGACAAATAGATACACACTCAATGACGTTTTCACATCTGCTTTTCTGAAAATATCTAGATCATTTCAGGAGGACTGGTCCGGAGATTCTCCTGACCTGGCAGTTCACATTTCACCTCACAGCAGGAGACTATCCCTGTCAGACGGGGGGGGGTGGGTTGTTAAAAAAAAAGACGTGGAAGTATCGGACGACGCAACAGAGTCCCCTATAGGACGCTATAACGAGAATATTTATATCAATGCTACGTGTAGTTGAACAGAATCTCAATCTGAACTAAAGAGTGGAGGAGAACATACTGGAGAACAGGAAACATAATGCAGCAGGTTCATTAGAGCACAGAGATGGTAGAGGTGGCGTGCAGACAGTCTATGGTCGTGCAGCGATCACAGGGAATAAACCTCACTCCCCCCTCCTATTGGCTCGAGGTGAATTCTCCGGAGAATATCCTGCTCTGTTCTCACATCAGCTCACTCTGACTTTCTGCAGAAAAAATACTAAGGGTCTAGAGGAGAAACTCCGGGTGAAGTCCGAGTGAAACATTCGGCTGTTTGCGTTCACACATGCAGCTCTTCCTGCAAATATCTGATGTTTTGCAGGAGAAGTGTGAAAGCACTAAGACAGCATGATAGAACTACAGCCCTGCATGGTGAGGCTCACCTATCGTCCTTAAATTCAGTCACAATACTAAATCAAGATTAGAGATGCAACGATGCACGTTTTTCAAGTTCCGATACGATTCCGACACATGTACCGATACTGATACCGATATTTGTCTTATTGTAACTAACAGTGTTAATGTTGTTGTTGGTAGTATGTGAAACCCTGCATTGCATTGCTTTGTGCTGGCTTCAAATACAAACAGGAAGCCGCAACAGCTGTCAGGTTTTTCAAAGTAAATCTTTTAAACTGAAGTGTAAGGATTGTTACTTTAGATCATATAGATGGAGCTGTTCCTTCTCCTCTGAGCGATTTGTGGAGACTTCTCACAGTTCAGTTTGAACGTTTTCAAAGTAAGACCGTGTGAGCTGAGAATCTTTAAAGCGCCCAACCATCTTTCTTTGATCAGTGACTTGGATCAGCGCCATCAGTCCGATATACTGTATAAATTAAGTCAATAGTGGACCGGGTACAGATATAACATCGGATCGGCCCCCTCTCTATTCAAGATGACGCCCTTTTTGCCAAACAGTGAGGCAAGAATCCTCTGAAGAAGCAGAACAAGTTGAGTTTCATTGACATCAGCCGCTCTCAAACTGTCCCTCTCCTCGACTTCATCATCTTCTTTAACTCTGACATGAAAGGCTTGAATCAACACCTGCACTTAAACAGGAACACTTGTCCAAACACACTGCGCGTGTTGAGGCTGTTTGGATGAGTCCATGTTTACATTCGTCATGGCTGTACATACAGGAGCGCTGGTCAGGTAACGTGAGCCGCGATTAGCTAAGAGAGGTTTGCAGGTTTTTCCCTCGTTTAAAGATCGGACTCATCATGAGGTTTTATGGAAGCCTAACAAGTCCTTAACAGGAACATTTTCTCATCGACAAAAGATCTTAAGTTAAGGAAAGCACAAAGTCCACAAAGACTCCATTCATCACATCTCTGACACCAAAGGGAGGCCAGACTATAGATAGCCTCATACATGACCAGGAGGAAACATGCTCTAATGTGCATTTTGGCCCCGTCTGCCAGAAGTCTGCTGTTCTGCTTGTGAGCATCTATTTATAGTCTTTACTCCAGCGAGGGAGAGACGGCTCTTCCCTCATGTTTGGGATCAGCTCTTCACACGGGTGAGAGAGGACAGAGGAAGAGGAGGAGGGGCTCTCTATTGACACAACACAGAAAGTGACACAAAGTGTTTCCACTTGAAGCTTGTCATTGTAACAGTTAGAGTCATTGGGTACCAGGTAACAGCCTGCAACACAGAGTCCAAACACATGATAACAGATAGCATTCAGCAGTGTCACTCCTCACACTATCTATCTACGCTGACAGATACCCTTTCCTCCTGCTCAGAGAGATGCTGCAGACATGAATGGAAAATAAATCAATTTGCTTTATAGAAGTATCAAAACTCACAATCATGTGAGACGTTTCCTATCTCGCTGTTGATGCAGCCTTCAAGAGCTAACATCTTTTCTTTCATCACTACACTTTATGTGCAAATTAGAAAATCTGAATTTCACTGGTTGACTATTTAGATCAAGCATGTAAGTGCATTATATGGCCAGTAGCCTCGTGGTTAGTGCAGGCGCCCCATGTTCGGCAGCTGTGGTCCCTAAGGCGGGTGGCCCGGCTTGGAGTCCAACCTGTGGCTCCTTTCCCGCAGGTCCGCTCTCTCTCTCTCTCTCTCTCTCTCTCTCTGTCCCTGATTTCTGACTCTGTCAACTGTCCTGTCTCTACAATGAAGGCATAAAAAGCCCAAAAATACATCTTCAAAAAATTAACATAAACAAACCGTGATGGTTAGTAGAGTCAACCCGACTTAAAAAAAAGATCTCTTCTCAGATTAGAAAGGTGTACTGTTAACGTAGCTTTAAAGGTCTTACATGAGAAAATGTCAAAGTCTGACCACTTGACACTTTTCTTAAATTATTTTTGGCCTTTCTAAAAACAGAGTCACTGAGTTTGAGTGATTTAGTTCTGGTGTAAAACATCAGCTGCACTTCATGTGCTGCAGGAAAACTTAAAACAAATGAAAAAGAAAGCAGCATGTCCAGTCATTTAAAAAAAAAAAAAACAGCAGAAGCAAATATTCTATAAACTTATATCTCATATTGCTTCCTAGAAACTGTCATCTAACTCACACACAAGTTATATTTTCTAACATGAGGCTGTACTGCTCTGCAGAGGTACACCGTATAGATATGATAACGACCAAGATAATGATCAGTCTGCTGTCATTCATACCACCGTGAGGGGAAAAGTGTGGAAGACATAACCTTGTAAACACACAGAGCTAGCACTGGGTGTGCACGGTTCTGAGAGGCCCATGTGTGAGTGCAGAGAGTATAGGTGTTTACTTCACTCACACACACACACACACATACACACACACACACGGAACACGCGTCGTGACCAGGTTCACCACAAACACGATACAAACATGAGACAGACAGGTGAAGGTATCAATGCACAAACTCACATCCTCGAACAGAGATCCAACGTTGGCTGTCACCAGCAGTATCCCTGTGCCCTGCGCTGCTGTCAGCTTCCCTGCCATGATTCTGTCTCGCAGGTAAGATCTCTGGGACTTACGGCTACAGCAGACTTTACAGGTGAGAAGCGAGGGGAGGGTAAAACAAGAAGAAGCCGGAGAACGTGTCAGGAAAACTGGTTATAAGAGAGGGAATGTGCGACTGAAGCCGGGGCTGAGGCGACTCGGCTGGAGCATATTTTTCAGCAGTGGCCGTGCATCTAACCAGGAGTTGCTCTGCAGTAGAAGCTCCGTTGTCGGCGGTGGTTAGCGTGCTGCTGTTGCTGCTGCTGCTTCTCTCGCTACTTTTCCCCGTTCAGAGCCATCGCAAAAGTCTCAGGTTTAATCCACGGCGAGTGCCCCACGGCTCTGGTTCATGTCAGCGACCCGGGTCTCCCTAGGCTTTTTGTAGCAGTGTAAAAGTCTCCCTCCGACGGCAGGACTCTGAGCCAGGACCATTGCCTTCACTGTTTAGAGAGGAGAGGCTGAGCTCTGACGTCACCGTGCCAATGGAAACACGGCGCTGTCTTAAAGGGGCCGCGCACCGTAAACACAACAGCCAGAGGCGTCCATTATCGGACACAGATGGGCTACCCTTGGAAAGAAATAAGGACACGCACCACTGGTTTTGGAGGTATTTTTTCAATTAAGTAAATATAATTGGTAGAACAAAAGCCTATAAGACGAGGTACTCTGCAGCACTGCTCAATCACATCGTTTTGTAGGCGTGTTGTCTCTTTTCTTCCTCCTAATTTACAGTTTTATTGATTCTCTATTTCAAATACTTCTCTTTTTTCTTAACTTTGGCACCTCTTTTAATATCAGAACTGGCTCCAAGCTCACCATTAACAATGGTGACCATGAACCTTTTTGCTTTTGTTGCAAAAGTGGATAGAAGAAAATATGTACTATATCAATCCCCAAGAGAAAAATCTATTTTGACAATCCTTTTTTTAATCATGCTACTTACACATGTAGGTCAGGAATACACACACAAACAACTGCAACTTACGTTTGAATCCTTGTACATTTTGTAATAATGCAGTTATTTTTTAATGCAGGCTAGTTTAAAAAATGACACTTAAAGCTCCTGAGGAACTTTGCCGTTGTGTCAACTTTGGCGCCCCCCTGTGGACAAAGCAGAACCTCTTCAAACTTTGCTGACCTGTACTTGTTTAAAGGTAGACTCAATAGCTTTTTCCTCCATACATGTGTGATGGTGACTGTGTCTGCAGAGACCCTGTCCAATGACAGGATTTTCAGGATTTGTTTTGTTTTGGTTGACTCAGGGTTGTCTCTGGCAGGGAGCTGAGGGGTTTCCTCCAGCCAATGACAGCACACAGGTGAGTTTAGTAGTGGAATTGGACGTGACAAACTGGAGTGACACAGACATATTGGCAAAGAAGAGAAAATATAATCAGAGTGAGGTGAAACGCCAAGCGGATAAAGTGTTGTTCAACACAATGTTCACCCTCAACATGGTGTTATCTTTCACCCGGGGATGGCCTGCGTTGGACAGGCAGGTGCTACACCTTGTTAGCGTGTACTACACATAACATTGATATAAATATTCTCGTTATAGCGTCCTATAGGGGACTTGTTAGCGTGTGCTTGCGTGCGGTAGCTTGCAGTGTAGGTACAAGCTGGTAACATACACACTACATCCTGCAGTGAGTGTCCGCTTCTGGGGTCGCTGAGCCCAGGAGGAGAGGTTTGAATGTTTACAAACTGCAACAAAAAATGATGCTGACTCCACCTTTGAGTAATCTTCTTAAGCTGACAGTTTGGTGATAGGTTGAGATTAACATTTGGGATAAAATAATAACTATAGCACTATTTAGTTGTACATTGAGAATTTCCCACAGGCAGGTCATGTGTTTGGTTGCAGCCGAGCCAGCTGTAAAGTTTCAAGGATTGTAAAAAAGAGTATCTACATATATGGATGACCACAAACAAAACACAAAATCACCTCTGTTTGGAGTTCAAATCCGGCCGGTAAAGATGAGCTTTTGTAAAAACGTTCTGGTTGCTTTTGTTTGGATATATATTTCTCTTTTCATATCATGGGAGATATTTAATGTATTGCAGTGAAATCTAATCTATACCTTTACAGCATGAATTGATGGAGTTCTTTGCATGAAATATTGCAATTTTGAACCTTTTATAAACAGAGCAGCTTCAAGGTTTCAAGAATTCACCGACAACAAAGCAGAGCCCTTGTGAGCACATACTTGTCTGTGCACATTGATTTCTTTGAGAATACTTCCAGCAGAGTTTATATCTCACAAAGGAAGCCGCTCTGTGTGCTTCATGCTGCAGAAACACCAGAACACATACTGTCTACAGGCAGAAGTCAACTGAATGTATAACGCAGAAGAACTCATTTAAAGTGCTCGGAGAGGGATCATGAGGAGTATAGCGAGTATAAAGAGTCCAGGTGGAACTGTGGTATAAAACAGGTTTACCGGCCAAGCGGGGTATTCTTACATTTATTTTTTGGCATTTTTTTCTGTGGTTACATTTCTTTCTTTTTTATTGGCTTTCAAAACTCAAAGGTGTCACCTGTCATTGCCCCAGTGCAAGAAGAACGTTGGACTTTTATCTTGTGGTACTAAACCACAGGTCTGGTTAACATCCTCCTCCAGTGTTGAACAGATATTAGATTTTGTGAAAATATCAACACCTAATAACCCTGATTTTTTACTTAAAAGTGTAGCAGATATTGGGTTAGGATCACTTTTCTTTAGTGTCTAATGCTGGCTTAACCGATTTTAAATACCTTGGAGACATAAGGACAGTTTCAACTGATTTTTTAAATCATAATCCTCTGACTCACACACTACCAGACGATCCGGCTGATTATTAGGTCATTCATTTTGGCAATCAGGAGCCACCCGAACATCATTAACGTAATGACATTAGTGTCCAGAAAGAAGATCAATGATGACATGAGTATGAAGTCACTGAAGTGACAAATTTCTGTTTTTAGTTTTCTTGATGTTTCACGTTTTATTTCAGGCATTTCATAGTGTGCAGGGAGTTCATCGTAATTGAGGTAGCGGGCGTAGAGGGAGACTGAACATTAATTTCAAATAAACCATCACAGCTCAAAGCAGAGAGATGATGCCTGATGGGATTTGCAGTTGTAGAGACAGTCAAACTGTATTATTACTACTGTATAGTGTCTGTTCTCATCATCATATATTAAAGTGATGTTTGGACCTGGGAGATGGAACAGGGGCTTGGTTTGTTCACTCCACGCATAGACCTCTGGGAACGGTGCACCTTTTTTGGGGGGCAGCAGTAGCTCAGTCTGCAGGGTCTTGAGTTGGGAACTGGAGGGTCACCGGTTCAAGTCTCGGTGCTGACCAAGTCTGGAAAGTGATCTGGTAGCTGGAGTTCACCTCCTGAGCACCACCGAGGTGCCCCCGAACCCCTCCCCCACCAGCTCCGCCTTGTTAGGATATGGATGTTCACTGGATGCATTTTAGAAAAGCTCTCTCACAGGCTGAAATCAAAACAGTTAGTTCACTGGACTGGACGCAGAGGAGTGAAATAGTAAAATGGGTTGTTTTTGTTTACTACTTTTATTCTAATAAACATAAGTGCATAGACTGACTGTATATCTTATCACTCCTCTGAGTATCCTGGATGAGAGTCTCTCATTACTCATCTGTCATACACTCTTCTGAATAAAACATCTCAATCAGCAGCAGACGTTAAGCTAAACTAATCCTGACCTGAAGAACACGTCTGAACAGGTTGTGTTACAGAGTTTAGACTATAATAGACCTTTCCATTGCGAGTCGCATACACATCCTTTTCCAAACATGCACACACACACACACACTCTTTGATCTAAAGATTTCCTGTTTAGGTTTTGGCAGGAAGATCCTGGAAAATGTCATATTAAGACTGGAAACTCAAAGACTTTATTTTGCTGAGGGTTGCTGAGCGACACGGACGAGCCCATGTGTGATGGATTATTGAGAATGATTATTTTGATTGTTTTCCTAGTTTCACTAAACCTGTTTGTGGACAACAAATTGTTCTTCCAGGATGAAGTCACCTGTTTACTGGAAAAACAATTAGGAGGGAGCTGGGGGAGGGTAACTGTAGTGACAAGAAATACAAATACACTTGAGAGTTCATTTGGTGGGCGGCAGTAGCTCGGTCTGTAGGCACTCTGGTTGGGAACCAGAGTGGGACTGCAAGTCCTGTTGTGGACCTGCAGTCCTAAAAGACTTCTGCTGAGAAGAATTATGTTGCCCCTCTGTGATACCTCAAAAGTAGATTTAATTACTGGCGATAGAAAGGATAAATACATTAAATTGATTTGTTGTATGCACACAAGCTTCCCACCCCCCCTGTAAACGTCAGTTCCCCAGTTGGGCCACCTTATAAAAAGTCTGGACACACCCTGCATGTGAACCTCTTTGAGCTCAGTCGGCTGTTCTTGGGAAAAAGTGTGTAGTAATGTTTCTACCTGTCGCCTTCAACTTTCTCCTGAAGTTTTTCCGCCTTGGGCTCCTCGTCCTGATTGTGCTCACCTGTGCCCCTCTCGGGTGTACTCGGGCTTTCTCGCTCCATGTCCTATTGTTTACGGTGAGAAGGCAGACTCAGAGGACAGAACAAACACCTAGCTGTGGGAGTGTCAACCACCTGGGGGAGGGGTTACTGCCCTTTGTGATGTCATGAAGGGAAAATCTCTAAACGGCCTGTTTGAACACACATTTTCTGAAAAGTGGATAAGGCACAAGATGGAGAGGATGGACTTTTCTCATCATTTGGGGGGTTTGTAGTCGGACTAGAGACACAAGTTAGAGAACAATGTTGACGTTTATTTTATATAATATGGGACCTTTAACGACGAGCAATGTTTATTATCCGCTATAAACATGAGACTTGATTGATGTTTTCAGTTTGTCTCTGTATATTGTATCCGACCCTATCAAATAAACCAGGAAATGAAGAAAGAGTATCTATTTTTTAGTATCTATTTTTTGTACATTATTAATTTTTCTTTTTTTTATTTAAATTGTAGTGTTCACTTTTGTCTGCAATCTTTGCTCTTTGCTGCTGTAACAATGTAAATTTCCCCATTGTGGGATAAATTATCTTATCTTATTTTATCTTATCTTATACAAAAGATCGCCTCTCTCAGAAACTAAAACCTGTGCGTAACTTTCCTCAACAAAAACATGCTCACATTTCGATAGATAGATAGATAGGGACTTTATTAATCCCTTGGGAAGGTTCCCTCAGGAAATTCTGATCATCACTTGTTCTTGCAGACAATATAATCTCTCTCTGTTGGTTCTGAGGGAGCCTGGTACGATGTCAACAGTAGTGAACAAACGGAGTGACCGCCAACTTTTCTGCATCTTAAACCCGCTTCAACCTCCTCAGTGTTGCTGTAATGTGTGTTTGAAATGGCCCTGGTTGTCAACACATTAGTGAGAGTCCAGCTGTGCAGAGATGA